GTGGATAAGTAGGTGAAGATTGTTGATAACCTCTTTGTTGCTGAAAACCTGGCGAAGGTTGCCTTGGATATGCTGGCGACCTAGGTGGATAATAATCATTTTTGTAGTCCATTTTTGATTTTATAAAAAAATAAAACACACGGAGCCAATGCCAGCAAGACTTGTTATAATGTTAAAATTTTTAATCTAAAAAAAAAAAATGAAGATTGGAAGAAATAAAAGAAATGAAAAGAATTAAAGAAATGAAAGAAGTATATGATAATAAAAGGAGGAGAGAAGAATTGGATAGGTTATAAAGGGAACGTTGACCCTTTCGGAAAAGGAAGAAAAATAAATTTCTTCCTTGAGGTAAGGTAAGGTAAGTTATTTTTTTTTTTTTAAGAAAGAGAGTTATGACCGCAAAAAACTTGTCGACAAATCGAGCCGACAGTATATTATTTTTTTAATTTGCAGCGAATTTGATTTGTTGAATATACAGTATAATATTTTTAATTAACCAATTCGATAAAATAAGATGCATATCAAATATTTTTTGATAATTAACTAATTAAACTAATTGAACTAATTAAACTAATTAAAGAATTCCATAATAAGGAATAATAGTAGTACTAAATATGTATGTAGATAAACTTCCAATGTTTCATATAATATGTGCGATAATATAAAAAATACGGACATTACACTAATTAGTCACAAAGTAACGACATCAGTCGTAAAAACCTCGATTGGTGGTGCTTGTGGTGAAATTAAAACTGAACTTGGAAAAGGATGCATGAATCTTATTAATCCTTTGGTGGCTTCACAAAACTTTGAATATAAAATGTCTAACATTTTAGATAAACCTTTGGAATCAGTATTTGGTTACATTTCAGTTTTGCCTGGGGCGTTCTCTGCTTATCGATTCAGAGCATTACAAAATACTTCACCTGGTAAAGGTCCATTAGCATCTTACTTTAAAGGTGAAGCTATGCATGGATCAGGTGCTGCTAATGCTGGTATTTTTGAAGCCAACATGTATTTAGCCGAAGATCGTATTTTATGTTTCGAGCTTGTGGCCAAAAAAAAACAAGCATGGAAATTGAAATATGTTAAGGTAATTTTATAATATTTATAAATAATTTTATAATATTTTATGATTTTTTATGTTTTATGTTTTATAACATTTTATAATATTTTTTTTTTCTATTTTAGGATGCAAAAGCCGAAACTGATGTACCAGACAATGTACCAGAATTTATTTCTCAACG